TACATATTTACACACACACAATCAGGGTTCTGGGAAAATTATAATCCCTTGAAAATCAGCATGTCTAGGTTATTCTAACACATGCCTACCAATAATAAGGGAGTTTTGTGGGTCACAGCTGCAAAAGATTTCCCCCCCCTAAAAGCTGAACTTCTAGGTTTGCGTGTAATTTCCTAGAACTGCACTGCAGGAACCAGATATTCTGAAGCTGTGTATGCTTACTCATGCTGGTTCCTGCTCCACCAAGATAAGTACCAATATGTTATATTTGTCACCAAAATCTAGGCTAAGACGACAAAATTGGAACACTGGGAGTTGCCAAATCTTTGCCTTTGAAGACTTTAAGACCACAATCCTCCAGCCCACCACCCTACAACAGAGGTTCCGGGTCATAAAAAGGCAAGCCACTGTTTCCCAAGACCCTGAAGATTGTGACAGGCTTATGGGCTTGTCTTCCCCAGGGAGATACACAACACAAAGGGTTACAAAGACTATTTCAGGGAGAAAAGAATTCTGATGAACAGAAAAATACTAGGCAGAAGGTTACAGCTAAACATCTTCATCTTTGCTTGTTTGGGGTTTTTAATATCTCCCAAGTAATGTCCAAGATGCTCATAGACACATCTCATTCCTTAAAATTCATTAACCCTCACCCAGCCCCCAACCTTCCCATTCCTTGAAAAGTCAATTCTAAAAGTGAACACCAATTATTCAAAAGCAAGGTGACACACAGTGCTGACCTGGTAAGCAGCCTTGTCCTTTCTGGTTTAAAAAATCTTTTTTCTTAAGGAATTAAAAAACGAATTATGTAAGCACTATGACCACTCACACTTAGTGTTTCCCAGCTGACCCACCACACCTAGCACTAGACCTGGTACAAGGAGGCTGAAAACGTTTGGAGGAAGGAGCTGGTTGCAGACAGGCAACTCCGGAAACCCTGACGCAGACACCAAGGAGTTCGATCCAGTTCTCTCGCTGTTGATTTAGTTCGTTAGAAGTCATTGCCCCAGTCCAAACCAATCAGACCCGTTCAAAGCAATGTGCTCGCTTCCAAGTCACTGCCCTCCCTCTGAAAAAGAGAACCTCTTCAAATTCTTGGTATTAACTGCAAAATCGCACCCCAATAACAAATACAATCTCTGCCCAGTCGTTCTTAGTCTCAGACCTGCGTTTCTAGTTTAATCGAAATATTCCTGAGCATTCTGGCACCATGACATGGTCAGGCATCCCTTTCGGGCCCCTATCTAACACACCAGCTCTGGAACAGCTTCTCCCCAGCCGCCCCAGCCCCCATCTCTTTTGTATATAAACACGCTGCCTGGTCACACACTCCATCAGCTGTTTGCTGGCTCCACCCCTGCTCCGTTTCCGGGTAGTAACAGAGCAGCCAATAGGCGGAGAGGAGCTGTGCCTGCGGCCTTTTGCCTGTAAATGCTTTTCCAAAACAAGCCGCTACAGCCAGCCCTCGGCAAGGGCCACCCGATCACTGGTAGAGGCCGGTCGGCCAGGGCTGTGCAACAGGGCGAGGCGGGCAGCACTCCCCTGCTCTCCGCCTCCTCGAGGCACCTGGAGAAATCCGAGCAGTGTGCTGGGGGGTGGGGGTGGACTTAAACCGGTATTCCTTTAGGGCAAATCACGCTGCCTATTCCCCAGGTCTGCTAGACAAGCTCAGCCCTCCGCCAGGCAAGCGGGCAGGCAGGACAAACCTCCACGGTGGCCAGCCTGGCAACTGCTAGGTCTCACCCAGCGACCTGCCTGGGCAAACAACGGCCACACGAGGCCGGCCCTGGCCGGGCCGGGACCCAGGGCTTGGGGTGGGTTTTTTTTCCGTTTTGATTTGTCGATGGGGGGGATGCACTCCTACAGGGCCCTGAAGTCCCCGATGACGGGCTCCTGGGGAGGTTTGCACAACCCTAGGCCAAGGCGCCAGGGAGAAACAATGAATGAGTCAGAGTTTCAGAGCCTAATCGCGCTGCAGATTATCAAGTGCAGCGGTGCAAAACACTAGCTCCCTCGCCGAACTTGGGGGTCAGCTCTCTTCCACGCAGCCCAGCACAAAAGAAACAAGCACCCCCCCTCCACTCCCGTCCCCTACAACGACCTGAGCCGACAGGGGGTGGGGGGTGCGCAGGGAGACAGTGGCCAATTAGTGACTGTCCTCCTGGCTCCCTCCTCGCCCCCACCCACCCCCACCCCTGGGCCGGAGGCATCCCATCCCAAAGTGGGCTGAAACCGGAGCTGGCCCAGAACCGGCTCACAGCCTTCCCCCACCCACCCCAAGAAACCGGCAGCGCAGGGCACGCGGGGCCACAGCAGCAGGCACATTCCTTCAGACCTCTGCTGTCTACTTCCTCTCCACCATCTTCCCTTCCCGGGCCC